ATATATATATATATATATATATATATATATATATATATATTTTATATATATACATATATCCCAGAGTTAGAAGTCAACAAACTATCTTTTTATTTGAATTATATGTGAATGTTGTTGTTGACCTTTAGTGAAATGTGAGCCTCTGCTGATTTCACCAAAGTAATAAACTTTTATTACTCCAATTGCACAGAGCCCTGCGATTGCAGGCGTCCTAATAGTTTGACTCAGAACACAATGCCAATAAAGATACTGCAGTAGATGAAACCTTTACTTGCATTTTAGGCAGGGCTTTCTAAACACAGCAAACAACACACACTAAGTTCCAGTGTTTGGGTTTTCTCAGTTCCTCTGGAAATTAATTCATCATCACAACAAAAACAAGCCAAGTAAGTCCAGTAATACTGATTGTTTCTCTGCTCTGTTGAAGCACTACTGCATACCCAAAAGTCTTAACAGGATCTCAGGCCTATGGGAACCAAATGTACTAAATAATCAATCTTATATTCTCCTTACTCATTATAAACAACCCTACTGCATCATTCCGTTTTAGGTTATTCTAATGGTTATCCCTGCAGTTGAACATTCATGCAGGGCACAGAGCTGCAGAGCTCAGTCATTTTGCAGAGGACAGAAGTCATTTTTAACTTACCATGGCTGTCAAACCAGTTTAAGGTAGATGTTCCTCCGTCTTCATTCGGGTTTAATGTTGGTCTGCTGCAGAGGCAGTTACCTCTGTCCCTCCCTCTATCGCTGCTCCCTCACACTGCAGGGGAATCACCAGTGTTTGTGGGTCCCGCTAGCTCCTTAGTGACGCAGCACGTTTGTGTGTGCTTTGTCAGCACATGAGTCTATTTGAACATAACAGAAAAGGAACAGACTGGAGAGACAAGCTGTTTTATTGAAAAAAATGTCTTGAAATCTATTCAGTGGTTTAGCATGAACCAATAATACTCTCAGATTTTTTAATACTGTTTATTTACACAATAGAACTAACTACCATTCTTAGATGGGAATTTTATCAAATCTTAACGAGCAACCTAAACATCACAAGCACAATTTCTTTATTATTTGTGTTTTTACTTTTTTAGAATGACAAACATGGAGCACGAAGCTTTACAGAAGTCTGGGCAATATATGAAAGAGAGAAAGGGGAATAACAATAACACATCAAATTATGTTGGTTTATCTAAGGTCTGAAAGTATTAACATTAATTTATTCAGTGCTTCAGAGCAGAATGTAAAGTTCAGTTCACTTCAGCTCCAGTATTCATACTAAATGCAATGCATGTATGTAAGAAAAACTAGTCATGGTAGTATGTTTAGATAGGACCCCCAATGAAATGTTAGTAGAGTTCTAAACTGTATTCAAAAGAATTTACAGCTGGAAGAACACAAGGAGAGCATGGCATACAATGCAATACAAGAGGCAAAATGGTAGGACAGAGAATGAGGCAGCTGAGCTGGGTACACTGGAACCCAAGTTGTGGAGCAAATGTGGTAATGTGGCCTCCTTTTTTCCTTTTTTGAAGTTAACTGCATGTTTTATTTTTGTAAATTGGATTTGCTTTATTTTGAAGTTATTTACTTTCTTGTGAGATTTATTTTTGTGTTGGAGAGAGGCCCACACGTTGGAGAGAGGACCGCGTGTTGGGGAGAGGACCACGCGTTGGGAGGATCGCGTGCTGGGGTGGACCGTGTGCTGGAGGTGACCTCTCTGGTGCCAGCTATGTTGGAGAGGCCCACGAAAGGAGCGCACGTTGGAGAGAGGACTGTGCCCTCCATCATGCCAGCTAAGAGCGCATCTTTTAAACAGACTGTTCCATTGACTCTACTCCTGATTGCCCTGTATTTTATCTCTTTTTTTAGTCAACTCATCCAAATCAATTATTGAACTTTTACGGATTAGTCCTTTTTAAAGCTCACAGTCACCGCAGTTTGTTTTGTTTGGTTTTATATTGCACCTCTCGGGTGCCACACAAAGCAGACATGAAACCAGTGTGGACCCACTGTGGCTCTACCTTTCTTATACCTCATCCAAAAAACTTAGGTTATCCTGAGCTATTTTGTGAATTTGTGCTGCTATAGGCTTAGACTGCTGGAGGACATAGGGACCCCCTTTCATTATCCTGCTTCATTCTAGCTCTATTCTCCCATTCTTCAGTATTTGTTAGTTCAATCTCTAATGTTCTGCTCTCCTGCTTTTTCTCATCATAGTAGCTACATCATGTCTGTTCCCCTTTGGCTGTGACAAACATCCTGGAGAGAAATATCAGCTGCCATCAACACCTTTGTTTATAGATGTTGGAGCTTGGGCTGTTTTTTAGTGTAGTTCTGTTTCTCTGGCTGGGACTAATTGTATCTTTTCTCTTTCATTCTCTGACATGGGAGCTGGCTCAGAGCTCGTCTGCCTTGCTGTTTGTTTCCTGGACGGGGCCGCCTGTAGAGCTGGTTGACAGTTGCCTTTTGTATCTCTGCTTCTTTTTCTTTGTCCGCTTCTGTCTCCTTGAACCCCAGATGGACTCGACAGATGGCCGCTCAAAATGAGACTGATTCTTCTGGAGGTTTCATCCTGTTAAAAGGAGTTTTCCTTTCCACTGTCGCTATGAGCATGCTTAGTGTGGTGTGAGGGGTTGCTTTCGAGTCAATGAGTCAAAGCAATTGATTCCTTGGATAGAAACTTTGAACCAATCTGAGTGTATAGTAAAGTGCCTTGAAATTGCATGTGTTCTGAAATGGTGCTATAGAAATAAACTGAATTAAAATGCTAGAACTCTTTAAGAATCCAGGAAAACAGCAGTTGAACCTTTGGGGCATTTAGAAGAACCCTTGAAAACAGGAGTGGAACAGCTGGAAATCTTGCAGAGAGATTGGAGAAGCACAATTCTGTTCTTATTATATTGTGGATGTGGGAACCCTCACGGTAACCCTGGACAGCAGTGGGCAAGTATGAAGAGTCCTTGACTGGCAAAGAGCTACCGTTACTTTAATTTCTCAAAATCACTCAATTTGAAGAACTCTTCCTTTTTTTTAAATCTCCATTAGCAGAGATAAAAAGGCAGATTAGTTCCACAGTGAAGGATCAGACAGTAAAGACAGTTTCAAGAGAGTGTTATTTTTGATAATAATTTTTAACTCTATTTCTTGTTTTAATCCTCATTGTCTAACTCTCTGCAATGACAGAGGATTAAATTGAATATATTTGCTCAGACGATAAGACAAATGATGCTTTAAGGCTTTTGAAATTCAAGAACCAATGAGCCTATGTATTTTTTCATAGTTATTGATACCGGCTGCCTGTCTACCACAAAATAAACTCCACATATAGCCAACCCCAATTGCTTACTAAGAGAAAGGAATAAACTCATGAGAATAAGGCTACCGTAATATGGGGAACAAAGGCTCTCCAAACAAAAACATCCCTTATGCTTCCGTCAGACATGTGTTTTTAACATTCGTAAAGAGGTACAACTTTAAACCATACCCTTGATTAATTTGCATATACTGTGGCATACCTAATTAATGTGATCTCCAGCTAAGTTAGGCTCTCATAGAGCTTTGGGGGTGTAAAACATATTTAAGCATCTGAATCACAGCTCGCAGTTCTTGGTCATAGATGGAGGCGGTTGTGCAAGGCCACCCCTCTACGCTGGGCTCAGAATAAGTGGCCCAGTTGTCCTCCCCCCATCAGCGGGTACCTCTTTACCATTTACAAATGATGCTGTAAAGTGCTGCTCTATTTTTTTATCACCTAGTCATACAGATAATTGCTGAAGCATGAAGCATCATTTTCAAGAGAGACCTGCTTTAAATAGATGCATGGAATAGATTCAGTCACCAAATGCTCAAAGTGACTCCAACATCATGTAGAATAGAGCTTTATGCTCTAGCACAGAGGTCTTCAACATTTTCCAGGCCAAGGACCCCCAAACTGATGGCCAGATGGAGCGGGGACCCCCTAATTATATATATTGTATGAAATTGTGTTATATCAAACTGGTCCTATAGTCACTCTATTACAGATGGAGTAATGTAATGAAAGTAATTTAGCCCTGGGATTATTAAAGTATTTCTGATTCTGATTCCTCATTGATGGGACAGGTGATGTGAATGAAACAGTGCCCAGCTTGAACGAGTTCCTGTGTGTGACTGAAAGACATCTTCTGCCTCCATTTATTTGTTTACTACAGTGTTTAATCTAAATTAAAAAAGTCTTATCAACCAAGACTTTCGCGACCCCCATGCAGTACCTCCGAGGACCCCCTAGGCGTCGCGGACCCCCTGTTGAAGACCTCCGCTCTAGCACATAAATAGGTATACCTGCTTCTGATGTTACCAAATCTGAATGTTTCATGCATCAAAAAGCAAAGTGGGACTGTGTAGCCACAACAGAGTGGTTTTCAGGGAATTTTAAAATTTAGAGAAAATAGCAGGTATTGTGGAAAAAAAAATATTTCCAAGATGCATTTTTTTTATATAATATATATATTTATATAAAAAGAAGGAGATCATCTCATATATCTTGACATGGGATGGAAAGGTTTAATCCTCTGTCCCTTTGGGAGCCTGTGTCATTTGAGCCTGCAGCCAACAGACTTCAACACAGCCTTTCCCCCATGGCAGTAAAAAAAATGCTGTTTAAACGCATACACACAGCACTCTCACCTGCAAAAATGGACTACAACGTTAAAATAACCTGTTTATTAAGTAACATATTGTGGCTATATCTGGCAATAACACTAAAAGAGATGCTGCCAAACAGTAATCTGATTGTATTTTTTCAGTGACAATAAAGCTTCTTCTTCTTCTTTCCAACAATGTGATTGCACTAGCAATCACTGTTATTTCCTGTTTTCTTGTGTATGGGTTTGCACCCACATGAGCCATGATGACAGATTATAGAGACATTATGTACATTTTTAATGAAAATATCTTTAAAATAACGTTTTTGTTTAACCCTTCTAAGAGTGAAACATAATTTGAAGAGGCATCAGATGAAGAAATAGTTTTCAATTGGCATATCAATTGGCTTACCTTTAGAACTGGTCTAATGTGAAAGGGGACCCCTGCCTGCAGACCAACAAACCAAGAAACACAAATTTTTAGACCTTGTTTACCGTTTAAGTACTTGTGATACCTGTCTGTGTAAAAAGGTATTGTAGTCTGTAGAGACTTAAGAACCCCTTAGCACTCGCAACTATGATGCCAGGCACTGTAGAAAAGGGAGAAGCCTGTTTCTTTCTGTTTTTCAACAGAAAGAAAGAAAGAAAGAAAGAAAGAAAGAAAGAAAGAAAGAAAGAAAGAAAGAAAGAAAGAAAGAAAGAAAGAAAGAAAGAAAGAAAGAAAGAAACATTTAATATGAACTCCTGCTACTGATGAAGTATAACCAAATGGTTTGTTTTTTTTCTGTGTATAAACTGTTAAATAACTTAACTATGATAAAAAAATCATAGCTCTTGTAATCGTATATTATTCAGAAATATTATGACCCATGTTAAGAAGTCTACACACATAAAGAATAAAAATATGTACAATCCGGATGGCTTATATACAGGTGTAGAAATATTGCACATTCAGCCTATCGCAAAGAATATTGCACAGTCAATAAATAAAAAAAAACTATAATGTAGCTGCACAGTGGTTTTTACAGGAGTTATTATTGTTATAGTGCATTATTATAGAGTCTGGTGGCAGCAGGAATGAATGAATGTTCATACAACTATGTTTTCTAAAGCTGTATGATTTTGCATTTAACCTTATGAGAAA